TCAGTTTTTCTGTCTAGGTGTGAACACTGTTGAAATAATACTTGAGCCTCCTGCTAACACTTAAGTTCCTAGTTTTGTCAAAAAGCCCCAGTACTCCCTGCTTTCTTAGGCAGAGATCTGCAAAATTCTTTGAAGATAAATTCTTCAGAACAAAGCTCATTTTTGTTAAGTGTTGCTTTGAACTGGATTGCCATAAGTGTTGTTCAGTACAACCCAAACAATCAGATGAGCTATGAATGGCCAACTCCAGTGAGAAATGAGCATGTACAGATTTTATGTTTCAGGTTAGCAAAACATAGGAGCTCTGTAGGAGGAGGATGTGATCAGTGTTGTGTTTTAATGGCACTGATGGGCATCTTGCTAACTTACTGTGCTGAAGTCATCTCCCAGAGATAGTTGTGTGGGTATTGAAGCAGAATTTCAGTTTCTGTGAGGGCTGTGCTGTTCTCTTGCTTAGCATCACACTGGAGGTTCTCAGATTTTTTTCATTGCATGGGGCTGTGGCGTGAGGAAGGCTGAGAGCTCCGTACTGGAGGGGTGAGGGTGCCAGCTGTGTTTTGGCTTACAGGTAGTGGGGAAACCTGGCTAATGTTATAAAGATCTTCAGGCTGCAATGACTTACTAAATAAGTTTTCTTGTAATTCATTCTAAGAAATGTTTATTAAAGCATAATTAAACTATTAAAATGTACTGTGATTGAATAAGCTATAGTATGAAAGAAATGGCTATCATGTACAAAATAAAAGGCCTGACCTTTTGTACATGCCTTTGTGTACAAAAATGTTTGTTAACAAGTGAGGTTTTAATAAATCTCCAGTCTTTAAATGTGAAGTCTTATCTTCCCCCCACTCATGTGTTTATCTTCCTGTTTTGACAAGAACATTCTGGAAGTGTGAGGCATAACTATAGGGATGATGCTTGTTTTCTTGTGGTCAATTTAAACAACAAAAACTAACAAGTGTCCCCCCAAACTTCCTTCACTGTTATTTTTAATGTGGTATAACCTAACTGCTTGACACAGATAGTATACTGGATAGAAGGAGCAGTAACATAAGCAAGAAGAATGACTTTGATGCAGAGTTTATGTGTATGAATTAATTGGTTTCCTGTGCACCTGAACTAAACAAGTTCAGTTCCTGTGTGAAACTGAAAGTTTTCAGCAGGAGGCTGAAAGCAGTATTGGTGTATAATCACTGTGAAGTTGGTCATGGTAGTTTGAGATAGTGTCCTTTTGCCAGAAATTGCCTTTCCCGCTTATTTAAACTGTTACTAAGCATGTTTTGAGTTAACTAGATTGAATTTATAATTAATTGGATGGAGTTATACTTAGATAGTCTGTAGGTGGCAACCTCTGTTAGAGGCATGGTATAAGATACAGGGAATAGTAACATCATGGCTGTTTAACCAGTGATTGTCAGGTTGAGGCCGAGATCAGGTCTCTCTTTTCAAGATGCCATATGCTGTCAGGCTCAGGTCTGTGTTCATTTTTTTTGTTTTCCAGGAAAAAAAATATTTGAGCCATGTGAGTTATGAAACACTGGAAGTACCTGTAGTTTTAACTTCCTACTTGTCATATGAGGGCTTAAAAAGGGGACTAGTCACTTTGTAAATTACTCTCTCGAGATGCAGGAATTCTGGGTGAATGGCTTAAAACATGTTTTATATCATAAAGTATTTATGATCTTCAGGAAAGCATTGTTGGAAGAAGTGTTGAAACAAGGTTGAAGCAAGCCCCTTTCCCGTGTGCACAGTTGGGAGGTGGTGAAGCTAGGTAACCCCTCAGGCACCAGTGGGAATTCTCCTTGCCTATGTAAAGTTGTCCCCAATTTGTATTACTTCTGCTCATTTGGTAAGCATGGTTTTGTGTACACTGTTTTAAATTCATCCATTTCTGCATGTTTTAAAAACAAATACATGTCCCACACATACTAATATATGTAATTCTTTACTTATAATCCACCCTTGAAATCCTTTCCAGTCAACCAGTCTCCCTCTCTTCTGGATATTTGACTGACTTAATGCAGATGAAAAACTTCTGAGTACATGCTGGCGCTCTGGTGGCATGGTCTGTCATAGGCTGGGTCGTGTGGACACACTGTGCATCCAAACGTAGATGTCGCTCCTCTTTTTTTTTTTTAAGGAGCTTTTAATATTTTTTTTTAGAGGAGAACAAAAATGTTAATGAAATAATTGTGAGTTTTATTTGCTGATAAAATTAAATTAAAAATATTAAAAATACTTTTCTTGTCAGCTAAATCTAGCTGATGTTACCTAGAGGGGGAGCTAAACAGTCTTTTTCAGCTATGACTTTCACCCACATATATCTGCTGAACTCAGAGTGCAGATTTAGTATGGTAAGAGATGTAATTTTGCTTGTTGGTGATATTCGTGGAAGAAAAGTCAGTTTAATCTCAGATTTCAGGCCAAGCTTACAAAGCCTTTAGGGAATCTATTGCTATAACTGTGAAAAGAAATATATTTCTTCTGGATACTCTCACACCCTGAAGACCTTAAAATTTTCCACTGTAAATTTCTTTAAGAAAACCTTTTAAATTAAGTTTATGTGACAGGAAATACCTAAAATTGGAACACCCAAACTGATTGTGCATTACATTTGATTTTAGTTCTTTATGAGGACACTAATTCTTAAGCGAAAATAAACCATACAGCTAGTGAATTAAGATGCAGAGTCTTAATTGACATTATCAAAAAGCCTTTGAGCTCTAGTGCTGTGTAGTATTCTCTTTCTTAGGGGTTAGATGTTGCTCCCCACACTGGTGTATGTTTGCGGTGAAGGCAGATACCTTCTGGTGGTAGGCTGTGAATCTCACCAGTCAGAACTCCAGAGGAGGTGTTTCTGCCTGGACACAGAATAGCTTGTCAACCCTTTGTTCAGGTATAGGCAACACTGAGAAAAGTGTTAATCTTTTGGGTATGTGACACTTGAAAGCTACTCTGGGTTCACAAAAAACTGTCCATGAGCATCACCATAAGCCACTGTAGTTTAGAAGGTCCTTGCAATTGTTTCAAATAACTTTTCTGTATTTATGTGTTGCCATAGCCTCTCAGTTCTTTTTGTTGGGTTTTTTTTTTTTTTGTGTACAGAGAAGACAATATATGTGTAAATAACTGATCTTATAAGGCAGTAAAAAGGTGAACACAAAAATACCCCTCTCTGTATATCTTCTTTGTGTGTCTCAGCCTGTGGGTTTTTGAGAAGGGGGATTAAGAATGATGCTGTACCCAAAGCATTTTTGATGTAACTAAACCCCCTCTGCCCTGCACTATTTCAAATTTGAGATCTTACTGAGACTATCTAACAAGCAGACACATAGCTGAGTTTTGCTTTCTGTGATGTTCATAACCTATAGAAACTTGATGTTCGTTAGTGTTTTGATAATTAATACCTGTAAGGGTAGATAAGTATTATTGTAGGCTTCGGGTAGCATTTTGTTTTCCTTCGGTAATTAGGCTGCAGTCAGAGTTGCTTTTAAGTAAACTGAATTGGTTAGAAAGCAATTTGTCAAGTAACAGAACATGTGTGTGAGCATATATATATATGCTGTGTGGCGATGGAAAACTTTCTTTTGCTCACTAATGGCTTAAAAGAAGTGGCATCTGACAGAAACAACGTGAGGCTGCGTTGCATCTCTAAAATTTGCCTTCAAGTTAAGACAGCTTAGTAAAATCATTACTGTCTGAAGAAAAGTTATTAGTTGTTTTTTTTTTCTTAGCTCTAGCTTGCAAATCTTCATAGACTGTCTTGCAACACGTTCATGAGCTGTAGTCTGGAAAGGCTGGGTATACAAGGGACTGCTAGAGGCGTGGTTATGCTTTGAGACTTGTTTTGTAGCATAGTAAATAGCTTGAGGCTTCAGCGTTTTTTAAAAAACCTGTTCTTGAATCATCTTCATATTTGTATTCCAATAGTTAATTGCATCACTCCAACCATGCTGCATTGTCTACCTGGTTATCATTTTGCTTCTGCTCATCGACTTCTGCCCTATCATTTAAAGCCTGAGGCTTGTTTCATTTCTGAACCTAACAGCTGATCATCCTGATGTTCTCTGCTGGGTAGTTGAATTGCTTCTTGTCAGCCTTTTTATTTGAGAGCACTAAATATCAGCTGGCTGGCTAATTGAGAAATTGAAACTGTTTTTAATGAATTGGGCAAAGCCCACTGGAATTGTCTGAGAAGGTAATTGTGCATTTTTCAGTGCACATATTTGGAATCAGTTTGTTAATTCTGAAAGAGAGTCTTTTTAATATAAGAACTGAAGATGCTGCAGTCATGGCTTCCTTTTAAACCAATAAGGTATATGCTATTAAAAAAGTAGCTGGACTGATTTGTAGAGCTTGAATTTGAGGGAAACTGAAAGCATGGAAACTTATGTTGCAGCTTCAAATGACAGTGTGCATTAGAGTGCAATTTTTCTGTTTCTGTCCTGGAGTTCTGACAGCACCGTGAGAAAGCGTGTGGTAGTCTTGTGCAACATGTTGGGTTTGAAGGAAGACATGGCAACAAGCCAAGAAAGTGGAAATAAGCAAACAAGTATTGACATTTTTATATCTTAAGCTACCCTGCAGGGTTATGTGTTCATTACATTTTAAACAATTGTTTTAAAAGTAGAGGAATGGGAAATGGAATAGCACTAGCTCTTCTGAGTCTTTGCTGAAGGTTGTTATTACCATGTCCCCGTACATTCTAGCTGCTATGGTAACCAGTTAACGACAATCAGCAGATGAAGTTTAGACATCGTTATGTACATGAAGTACATTTTTAAAAAGTTATGTAAATTCTTCCATGTACATTTTCCACAATACTGAGGGTTGTACTTTCTTTTGAAACTTAGATCAGCTGCATCCAAAAAGTATTAAATAAAACTTTTGATACAGGTGATTTGCAGCATGTATACAAATTAGTTTAGATAAATCATGCATTGTCCTACAAACTAGTTATTTCTGGCTTATTGTAATATAGCTCCTGAATTTTTTCCAGCAGCATAATAAAATGGCTAATCAGGTGAATGGTAATGCGGTACAGTTAAAAGAAGAGGAAGAACCAATGGATACTTCCAGTGTAACTCACACAGAACACTACAAGACACTGATAGAGGCAGGCCTCCCACAGAAGGTGGCAGAGAGACTTGATGAAATATTTCAGACAGGTATAATATGCATTTCTTGTTTCTGATTGGTTATGAAAGTGAGGGCATACCATTTTCAAATTTTTATAGATTAAGGTTTAAAAATTCATTGTTTTTGATCTGTGTAGCTCTGAATGTTTCGCTACTTTGACTTCCCTAAAGGCAAATTGGGTTTGACATTGACTAATTACTTGACAGATCTTTAGAGCTGTATGTGATATCTTAGTTGCTTTAGGGCACAGAGCACTAGTATCTTAGACGTTTTCAATTGAAGATGTATGTTTGCGCATACTAAACTGTACATTTTTTTTCTTCAATCTGAATCATCATTTTGCTTTTACTTATCTACTGTCAACTGCTCACAGTGGTTCTAAAACACTCAAAGGCTCGATAGGTGACTTAGTGAGGGAAGCAACTAGCTTGTCTTGCCTGGGACTACATTTGAATTGAGTCTGCCTGTGGATTTTTTGTTCTCTCTAGTTCTGAGTGGACAGTTTAATCCATGTTGGTTATTACACTGAAATGTTCAGCTTGACACTAACTGCTTTTTAACAAAGTTGAGGACTAAGCTATCTAGCAAGTCGAGTAATACCTTGCTGGTAGCAAGTGGTCTCTGCAACTTCTAGAGAGGTTTCTTTATATACAGAGGTTTTTCTATTTTGTTTTTATAACTACCCTAATATTTTGTCCTATAACAGAGGTTTTCTTTTCCTTTTTAGAGTGTGTTCTGTCAACAGATTTACAAGAAGCAGTAGAACTGCTCTATGTGCTTATCTTGAATGCCTTGGTGTCAAGATTTCAGTTTTTGTTGAAAAGAGTTAAAATTCCACTGATTAAATGAAGGCAGTTCAAAACCAATACCTTATCAATCCTCAGTGTGATACTCTGGCTCACGTGGGTGATGTCTTTTGGAAGTCATTCACAGTGAGCTTTCATCAAGCCTTTACCAGCTTTTATTGGCTTTAGCGATGCACTTTCCAACTGTGGGTCACAGTGAGGTGCACTTGATGGTCTGAGAGGTGTAAATGCCTGGGCAAAGGAACTTGTGGGGCTCTAACATGTGTTGCAGTTAGGTTGTGTGGTGAGGAGTTCTTAAGGAATTTAAAAGCTTTTTAGCCCAGAACCTGACTAGCAAATATAATTCCACTGCATGAGTAACCTGAAAACATTTATTCACACTTCGTTAATGGCACGGAAGGTGTTTGCATTGTGCAGAGGTTTGTCAGTGAAGCAAACTACTTTTGACACGCAAACCAAATTTGGGATTGAATTTAGGGATTTTTAATCTGTTTAGGACTTCTATAGACGATACAGGTGCCTTCCAATATGCAGGATCACTTCTGAAATGTAGTCCTTGGGCTTGGCACTACTGTGCGTTTTTGAAATCAAGTGGCAGTGAAATAATCTGTGTATTTGGGAGATCAAGCTGTTGCAAAGTGTGTGGAGTTCTTGGTATCTGTCCTAAATTTGGATGTATCATTTGAAAAGTACAAATCTTAAAATCTGTTTCTCACACTCCACAGCTTATGCAAGTGCATTACAAAAGGAAAAAAATAACCTGTAAAGATCCTTAAAAAGAAAAACATTCTTCAGAACTGGTCCAATGTTTCTTGGGGGAGTCTGTACCTGTAAAATTAACATTAGCCTTTTTGGGTACATAGCAGGGCTCAAAATAATACCTTTTTGAATTCTGGCTCTTGGAACTGCATAGAGCAACAAAATGAGTTAAAAAACCCCCCAAACGCTACATGGAGTCCACTGATTCCTGCTTTTTTGACGTTGGAGGAAAGAGTGAGCAAACCGTTTTGCTTCCTAATATTTTGTGGAGTACAGCTTCCTAAGTATTTGATCATCAGTTAGGTAGCTCCCTTTTCCCATACAGTAGGATACCTGTAATGTTGATGGTTCAGCTTATTCTAGAACAGCTCAGTTCGAGAGAAGGACGTGTGGAATTCAAAATGAAAGATAAATAAACAAAATTCAAATTATTAGAAGTGAGCCAAAATTCATTGTTTCAGACCCTGGTATGTAATACTGCTTTATGCAGCAGATTGCATTCCTGAATGTTAGAAAACTGTTTAACACTGGGTATAATCTTGCACATCAGCTAGTGTTTAGGTATATACATTTTAATTTAACTTTTTTTCATTGTTGTACTCATGTTCTTTCATATACTTTTGTAGGAATATGTAATTATATGTATAACTCTGTTGCTATGGAATGTAACTTTTTGACTTTAAAAGCAAACTGCATAGTTCTTAGTTTGTATGAAATTCAATAGAAATCTGTAACTTCTTTATCTTTAACTTTTAGGGTTGGTAGCTTATGTCGATCTTGATGAAAGAGCAATTGATGCTCTTAGGGAATTTAATGAAGAAGGAGCCCTCTCTGTATTACAGCAGTTTAAAGAAAGTGACCTGTCGCATGTACAGGTAAGGTGAGAGCTCCAGGAGTGTGAGCACATAAGTATAAATAGTGTTCTGGCACTACGGGCAGGAGAGCTGTAATTTAGAAATTCATTGATGTTGCTGTATTCTTATATTGCAAACCCAAATCCCAAGTGTGTTAAAAAGTGCCTTAAATGTGTAGGTATTTAAGCGCAAAGCAAAAGCTCCCAGATAATAAAAATGAGTGTGCAATTGAGAAAATGGGTTAAAATGAAGACTTTTTCAATCTGACAAATTTATTCAATTAATTGTTGGATTTTCCTAAAGGATTCTTTTGACATTGGCTTGAAATAGTGACCTCATGGTATGGAGTGTAAGACTCACTGGATTCCCAGGACTTGTCATACACACTATTGAATTGTTTTGTAAATTGTATCTACAGAACAAAAGTGCATTTTTATGTGGAGTTATGAAGACCTACAGGCAAAGAGAGAAACAAGGCAGCAAAGTACAGGAATCAACGAAGGGACCAGATGAAGCAAAGATTAAGGTAACACTTAGAAGATACTGGTTGTTCTGTACTGCCTGATAAATATTATCTGTACACAGACTGGAGAAATTTTGGATGTCCTCAGAAAGCATCAATACCACCTGGATAAGTATATTGACACTTGACTTTGAAGAAATTGTATGTATGATAGAGATTCTAGAGAGAGTGCTTGTTGGCAGTGCAGGTCTTTCTGATCACACAATTGCCAAAATATCAGTATCTACTTAAGAATTGTTTTAGTTGTCCTTTTATATGAAATCTTTTACACACATGCAGTACATTGAGACTGGTCGACCATTTCAACAAGAACAAGGTATTAGTATATTAGGAAAGTCTTCTGTTTTGCTGTGACCTGAGTACAGAGTGGGTGACAAGAATTACCTGGTGCTCTGGAGTTCTTGGGTTGCTACATATAAAATGGAAAATAAGGGAAAAGACAAACAAATTCTTTCCAGTGACCTCATAGTATAAAACAAATGTTGTTGTTTATGATTTTTTTTTAAAACCCACAAAATAACAGGTGTATTTGTAGGTTCTGTCTCCATATATACCTTGTTATCAAGTGTGGCAAGGAGCAGAAAAATGCTTAACTTGGAATGCATTTTTTATTCTGTATATTTTAGCCCACAACCCTCTCCTCTGTAACTAGTCTGACTTTTTTTTTTTTTTTTCCAGGCTTTGCTAGAGAGGACTGGTTACACTTTGGATGTAACTACAGGACAGAGGAAATATGGAGGCCCTCCTCCAGATACCGTATATTCTGGTGTTCAGCCTGGCATTGGAACAGAGGTTGGTATACATAGACTAATCTGATGGTTGTTTTGTATGTTTGTGCAAACTTATAAATAGGAAATAATTGAAAATAAACTGTATTACAGGTTTAATATATTGTAGAGGAAAGCATTCTTCTATGTGTGTCTAAATCAGTCTTTCTTACTCCTCAGTATTCTGCAAAAGACAGGAAAACAGGTTAAAGTGGGGAGAAGCAGGTGGAATATATTATGAAAGGCTGTGCAAAATTTCTTAAAATGTGAAATAGATCATTAAGTTGTTAGACTTCATGGTTCATCCTAATGCTTGTGGTCCATGGGTCAGTAAACGTGACTTAGAGGTATCTGACTTTATTTACAAGAAATTGAATTTAAGCAATGCTAGCTTGCTTTTATGCAGTGTGCTAAAAATGGAAGACTCAAGTATTGTATAAAGATACTCAAATGAAAGTTTTGAAGAGGACAACTGAGATTAATAATAACTATAGATTTGTTGATTTGCTTTTGTTTCAATCTATATGAAAACATCCTTGAGGATTGCATGGATGGATAGTGAAACTACCACACTAAAAAGAGGTTATGTAGCATGGGTGTTTTGATTGTTTTTTTTTTTCTTCAATTCTGGATTTAGAAGGTGACTTAGAGGTTGTTTACGAACTTGGTGGTGTTGCCAGAGTGCTTATGTGCTGTATAAAGTGTCATTTAATTGCACCAGGGCTCCCTGACGCAAGGAAGCATCTCTTTACCGGGAGGTTGGTCAGACACTGAACAGGCTGAGAGCTGGGCAGTGCCCCAGGCCTGTCAGGGCTTAGGAGGCATTTGGACAGTGCCCTTAATAACACACTTTAGCTTGTAGGCAGCCCTCAAGTGGTCAGGCATTGGACTGGCTGACTGTTGTAGGTCCCTTCCAACTCTTTTATTTGTGACTGAAAGTCCTTAACTACTGCTCTGAAGTATCTTGTCCTGTGATGGTTCGGCTCTTTAGGAAGGTGCAGGAAAACCATAAAGTTGACTGTACTTTTATACTATGAAGAGTACGTTTTAATACTTCTAAGTTTCCTGAAGCTAGAACAAGTAATTTGTGGAAACTCCTAGAAGAACAGAAGTGCTTCTGGCGTGAATCAGCATTAGAAGCTGTAATGAACCCCAGCCAACTAGTTATAGAAATGAGACCTCTACTAAATGAATGTATTGCTGCCATTCTGTGGGATTTAAAGGCTACTTACTGACTGACCTAGACATGCGGTTTGTTTTGACGGGCTGAGATGCTGAATACCTTGCTGAAATTGGTGAATTTTATGAAGCTTATTAAATATAAATGTATTAAATTTATTATATTACTGAGATTGTATGGAATTTAGGCTTTAGCTCTTGCTGTTGAGCTCTGAGGCACAGTAATCAACTTAAACAGGATGCTGGATCTGGTGGTAGGCAGAGCATGTTTGCACACAAGTGATGAGATCATTGTGGGTGCTTTTTTCCCCCCACAATGAGGTGGGTGGGGTTTTGTTTTTGGGGATGGGGGTTTTTTCCTTTTTTTTCCCCTTTTGAGAACCACTTCTCTTTTGTTTTCAGCATTTCTGGTTATATAGGAGTGTATATGCTTCTTTTCTAATGTTAGAGATAAAAAATTAAAAAAAGTATCGCTTTGGATTGTGACAGTGCAGTCTTGGGGTCTGAAACTTATTTAAATAACACTGAAGTTCTCATAGCTTGTGCCAGCTCAGATATGTTGATGCCAGAGCTGTCACTGATGTCAGTAATGGCAAACTTTTGATTTTTGAGTATACCCAAATACTATTACTGATTTGAAGAAGCATATTAGGTAGACTTTTCTCCCCCCAACGTGCATCAGGTCTTTCTGCTGTTAATATTTGTACACCAACTAATTTGTCTTTTTAAAATATAAAGTCGAATTTTGTTACATGTTAATTGTAGCTTCAGTTCTCAAGATGTAGGTGAACATTGTGCAGTAAAGCTGTGTTGATTATTGATAAATAATCTTCTGAATGTTCAGCATGTTGAACGTTAACAGACTGGCACAGTGAACACTTGGCTGAAAGGATTGGGTGGGTGAAGCAGTCCCATATATTTTTTCAAGTGGTTGAGCTTCAAGAGCAGCTGGACCTTTTTGGAATGTTTTGGAAGATTCTGTAATAAAGACAAAGTTACAACTGTGCAGAAGTTTTTGAAGAAGAAAATAATGGCAATAGGATTTGATAGTAATATTGAGTGTTCATTTTACTGAAGGACTTGATGCTTCACTGTAAAGCATTTTGCTTATATTGGGGTCGCATGATGCTGATACTTGGAGACCTGTTTGGGGTGTTTATCAATGAGACTGCAAACAGTTACTTGGGTATTTCCTTCTCTCCTTACACTCACTTTGTCATTTGCGTCTGCAAACAAAAAGTGCTTATCCTAAGGGGCTTTTGCCATGCTTCATTTTGCTTAAACACTTACCTATTTCTCAAGCAGGTGGTTTTGTAGTTTATGCTAAACACTTTGAATACTCTCAATCACAGTGTTTTGTGTGTTTTGGAGATTCTTCTATAAACCACCAGATTAGATTTAAGAAAACAGTCCACCTCTTGAATGTCTTTCAATTTATAGATTAGTTTTGCATTCTTTGAGATGCTGAAGCTCTTGTGGTTATTGTCAAGAAGATGCTTAGAAGCATCACGGTAAGGATGATTTCTAAAGGGAATATTCATGTTCCCAGAAGAAAAAGTAACTTAGTGGTGGTGTGAAATAATTATATTGAGTCCTTGAACTGAAAGATAATAGCTGATTCACATAACTTCTCAAGCTCTACTTAGGTCTCCATGCTCTATGCTAATTGTAGTTTATCATTGTTGTAGTTTAATCCCAACTGGCAACCAAGCACCATACAGCTGCTTGCTCACTTTCCCTCACCCTGTGGGAATATCTGTATAACATAAAGAAACATCTAAAGGTTCTGTCTTTCCTTTGGAGGAAAATTTGTGTTCCATGTTTTTCAAATCAAAGTCATGTTCTCCTCATGGGCTTGTTGCATTGGTGCTTACATGGGCATGCTGAGTGTCTTTAATTCTGAAATTCTGCTATGCCTCTAGTGCCAGATATGCCTCGCTGAGTAGGAGAAGGTTGACTCATGCCTTTTTTTTTTTAACTACAAAAAATATTCGAAGTTAAAATAAATAAAATTTTATCTTAATGGGTGTTTGGAATGTTTTCCTTGTATTAGCAAGTCAGAGGTTTTGAGAATTCAGAGGAGAGCGGCAGTCATTAGACATCCTGGGGGGCTGTTTCTAGAGAGACTTCAGCTGAAGAGATTAAACTTCTTAACAAAACTTAACCCATTATTGTAAGGAAAAAAAATCTCAAGAACTCCAGATTTGCTCAAACAAATATTAAACATTCAATTGGTGGAAGCTGAAACAAATACAGACAAGAAACAAGATTACAATATATATTCAAAGTGGATAATGTGCATTAGGCAATTAAAGGGATTTTTGTAGATTTATTCTTCTGTCTCTAACTTTGTAAGGAAGATTAAGTTACAGAGTAATTTGAAAATACTGCAAGAGCAAGGAAGTGCTTGGCCTGCTTTAACATAGGATGCTCAGCTAGATGGTCTGTAAGGTCTTAGTTTTCAACTACCAAAATTAAAACCAAGTAAGAACCGTTTACCTCTTCAGTAGTGGAAACTCATAACCTCTTCAATATAAATAACAAAACGGTGTTTTCTGTATGTAAAACTTTGTACGAGCAAGGGGAGGGTGAGAAGACTTGAGACATACAATAACATTGGCCACTGTGACAACTGTGGTGTTTCTGCTGTGCTGGTTTATGCTGCACTGTTCTTACTTTCCCAGGAACTTTCAAGTATTAAAAATAAGTTTGGATTTCTGAAAATACTTTATTTCAAGTGTCTTCTTCCTTTTTAGGTTTTTGTTGGTAAGATTCCCCGAGACCTTTATGAAGATGAATTGGTACCACTCTTTGAGAAAGCTGGTCCAATTTGGGATCTGCGCCTCATGATGGATCCTCTTTCTGGTCAAAACAGAGGTTATGCTTTCATTACTTTTTGTAGTAAAGATGCAGCACAGGAAGCAGTCAAACTGGTGAGTAACTTACTTTCAAACAGGACAAGACAAAGTAAACAGCAAACATATTGGTAGCCTCTTAGGTAATGAAGTCTTTGAAGTGTTTCCTTAAAGCATCCATTGACAAACTCAATTTTACTCTCTTAAAAATTGCCTCCTGATTTTATTTAGTATATACAGATATTTAGGACTGTTATCTGCTGCAGCCTGCCAGAACACTTGGGTGATTATGGCAAGAGCGTACTTGATTCCAGCTGGAAAATATATTCTCTAAGATTCACTGTGTTTAAGATTCATCACCCTTTACTGTAACGAGCTAATTGGACCTGCCTTGTTTAGCTGTTGCTGCCATAAAGGAGGTCTCTGACTTTGTTCCTTTGGTGGTTCCCAGTGCCCTTTTGTTCTCTCCTGTGGCAGTTGTGCAGTCTGCTCACTGTTTGGAAGTCTGGCTGGCCTGCAGCTGTGTGGCTTGGGAAAGGACACGGAGCAATCCCGAGGGAGTTAAAGGGAGAGACAGCAGTCTGACTGGGGCCTTGCCTCTGCCTGGGAGAAGGAAGTAGAACTAGGCAGATCAATGTGCATCTCCCAAGGTTTTGGATATGGCTGTGGAATACTGTGTGTACTTTGAACCAAAACAGGTGAAATGCTTAATCTCGTTTCCCTTAGCAGAATTCAGCTGATCCTGAGGTAAAATCTAAATACCTTAGTTAAGCTGGTGGGAGCAGGAAAACCTGAAACCTGGAAAAACTTAAAAGCAATTCTGTTGTGCTGTAAGGACTTCAGGAGTCATTGCTTTAAATGTGGCAGCATTTGTTCCTTCAGATATTTGAATGTATTTAGAAATAGTTGCAGTTACGTTATGGACTAGGGATTGCTTGTTCCTGCTTAGGCTGGTTTTTTTCTTTCTAGAACCTGCTTGGATGTTTCCTGAAGGAGACGCACAAAATATGTTTCTGCAAGTAATTGCTTCTGGGTTTCAGTGTTTGGAATCAGTGGATATGAGTTACTGTCATTTATGAAGGAAAAATTGTTTTGAAACTTTTTTCTTCTTTTGACCAAGTTGAAGGTTGCTTTAAATATTCACTGATGGAGGGAGATGAAAGGGGAGACACTAAAGTGGTGGGAGGTGTAGCAAGCGATGTGCCAGTGTTAACACTGTTTTAGTTCCTCTGGAGTATGAAGAAGGTTCCTGAAGGTATTTGTATCAGCTATAGGGCTTTGTCTCAACTAGGGCTAGAATGGCTGAAAACCTGCTTTTATAGAGGTTTTTTATGAGATTTTCAGAAGCGGGCTGATGATCAGACATCCATCCTCTTCTGCTCTGTTTGAAAATTCTACCTAAAACAAAGATGATGTCTATCTTGAATTTTTTTTTTTAAAGATTGAACTCTTGTACCTTGAAAGACCTATTGGGAGTCTTGGTATTCAGGGTAATCCAGCTGTGGATTACAAGCTTGAAGCAGTGGGCTAAGTTTTTTTTAATGGGAAGTTTTAAAACTTGATGGTAAAGTTTTTTTAATCTTAACATGTACAAGGTCAAAAAAATGCCTACTGTTGGGGTTAGGGAGAGAAACAAGGTAAGATGCTGATTTAGACTTTTGATTATCTCTGCAAACATACTCACAGTGTTCAAAGTTATCCAAGGAAAGAGGAAGAACTCTCACAGTATCTGTAATGCCGTGTATTTGCTTATTGGTAACAGCAGCAATGACAGTGACTCCCAGCACAGGAAGTAGTCACCAGTTGTCTAGAAAGATCTTTCAAGTCTGAGATAAACAGTAGGTGGATGAATTTACCCCATGCAGTTTGTATATCTTTTGTGTTTTCTTTCTACATCAGTTGTTTTTTGTAGCTTTCCATTCAGCAGAACTTCTGAAGTTTTGAAAATCCTAAACTTGGCACTGTTCTTCCAAGCGAATGCTGACACAAAACCAGCTCTTCTAGTAATTTTCTTGCAATGCTGATTCAACATGCTATGTATAAAAGAAGCAGATGATGAAGAAAACACCTGATTTTTTGATTTGGGGATATTTTCATGCCTAGTATTGTGGATAAAGCAAATTAATGGCTTTTTCTTTTTTCAGTGTGACAACTACGAAATCCGTCCTGGAAAGCACCTTGGGGTATGCATCTCTGTGGCAAACAACAGGTTATTTGTTGGGTCAATTCCAAAGAACAAGACTAAGGAAAACATATTGGAAGAGTTTGGTAAAGTCACAGGTAAGACTTAATGAGTTTTCCATGTGTTCTCAGAATATCATCCAGTCTCTCCATTTTGTCGGTCTAGTTCTTTGACAGATGTGTTCAGGTATCATTTAAACTCTTTCTAAATTGGATTTCAAGGTTGGTTTTGTTAGAAATGTTGTGTATGAAATATATCTTATGGTGGAATGTAAAGGGAATTGTGTTTGTTTAACTGATGGTTAAGTGAATGATGTTGTGAGTTTACAGTTTGCGATGGAAATGGCACAAATGAACTCAGAAAAAATGAAGGTCTTGACTCTGTTACCTGTTCTTCAGCAGCTTCCTGTAACTGGATCTACAGGAGGTTTTGCTGTCAACACTGAGAAGTTTTTTGGGGAACCTGAAACAAATGCGTTGCTGAGCAGTGATGGGGAGGAGGGAATACTGAATTGGTTTAGAGGGACTATGACAGCCTAACTTTGTCCCAGTTTTTCAGCATTGTTCCCCAGTATGTGCAGCAAGTAGGAAGAAATCAGCTCATCACTGGAAGGGTGCTTCTGCTTTAGATAAAAGATTGAGTCATTTGCTCTTGCTCCAATAGGAGAGTTTTAACCTCCTGCTTCTTTTTTAGGATTGCAATTTATTAGTACTTCAGGGAAGTGGTGAAAACAGAAGGTGAATATTCATTTACTTCTTTCTCCTCTTTTTGGAGAGATGTGGAAGAAATTCCTTCCAGGTCCCCCAGGAGGCAGGGGAGAGGCCATGTGTTAGTGCTGGCTACTTTTCAAAGATGTAAAAATGGTAAAACAAAGTACAGAAAACTTACACTGTATGAACTGCTTAGGTTGATGTTTTGCAGGGCCTAATTGTGAGGTTTGTTCTGGAGAACTTCACCTGCTAGGTGACCTGTTTCTGGGTAAATTGGATGGATTTCTCTTATTCATTTTGCTTTTCTTGTGTTTTCAGGTGTTAAAATCAAATTAATTACAAAACACAAAAGAAGGCATTTTTGGGTAGACTAGACTTTTCTCTTTCCTTTCAAAGCTCAATACTAAAGACCTGTTTTTCAGAGGGTTTGGTGGATGTAATCTTGTATCATCAACCTGATGATAAAAAGAAGAATCGAGGATTCTGCTTCTTGGAATATGAGGATCACAAGTCAGCAGCACAAGCTCGCCGACGCCTGATGAGTGGGAAAGTAAAAGTCTGGGGAAATGTTGTGACAGTGGAATGGGCTGATCCAGTAGAGGAACCTGATCCAGAAGTCATGGCAAAGGTCAGTAAAGATTCCACTGGATGCTCTGGTGTTTTGGGAGGATTATTTCTTTATGCCACAGTGATGAAGATTTGTTCCAGCTGAGCAATGTGAGATTTGAGGCACAAAAAGTAATGAGGGCATTTTCACAGTAAGCTGAGCAAATGGCACAACCTGAGCACTGTGGCTGAGTTGCCATGGGAAGACATTTGAAAACCTGCTGTTAACATCTAAACTAGTAGTGTACAGGGTTATCCTGCTGGATTGACACATCAGGCTGTGCATTATCTGCTCTGGCTTTAACGAATGCCAGGTGGGTACTGCATAAAACTGTTTTTCAGAATGACAAGAAGGTGAAGTTCAGTGTGGGAAATTATGTGCTTCTTATCCTAGTGTTTTGGAGTAACTCTTTACTGTCCTTGAGGTCTATTACTAAAATTTTACTGGGAGTTGTAGCATCCCAGAAGCAGAAAATCAAAGTGGGATATTCTTCTGGTCATGGAAGGAATTGTGGAAGGAGAGAAGTTGTAGAAACTTCATACAGGTAACTACAAGGCACTTTTTAAAAAGAGTTACAGAGTTAATACTCAAATTTCTTAATGCAACAAGGAAGGGAATAATATCTTGCTAGTTGGTAGTTTCCTTTGAGGTTTGACTTTTAAAGATTACAGCTTTTGTTCTCATTTTTTCACCAGGTAAAAGTTTTATTTGTAAGAAACTTGGCCACTACTGTGACAGAAGAAATTCTTGAGAAATCCTTTTCTGAATTTGGAAAACTGGAAAGAGTAAAGAAGTTGAAGGATTATGCTTTTGTTCATTTTGAGGACAGAGGTGCAGCAGTGAAGGTGGGTTGATAATTCTTTCCTAGCTGAGTTGATGTGAGCAGTTTCTTTTGTACAAGTGGTTTTTAAGAAATTTCTTTACAGTAATTACCTCAATAAGACAAACTGTAGAGCCCAGTTAATAAAGTTCCCATTGTGAGAATTTTAACGCTAATAATTTTGTTCCTGTGATTTCAGTAGCTTAGGAGGATGTGAAACTTGAAAGGACAAAACTGTAGCAAGTTAACAAGTAGACTGGAAAAGAGGTGTAGAGCAATGCAGGAGAGTCTAGAGAAGAGGAAAATAAAAAGATCAACCTAGACAATTTTTCTGAGGAAACACTGGCAGAAGGTATCAGTTGTCTCTCGAAGACCTCTATTTAAAGGCTGTGTGTAGCTTTGGAGTGACACAAGTATCAAATAAAAATTGCAAGGTAATGAAAAAATGCCTTATGAAGTGGAGGAGAATGGTGCTGGCAACTCCCATAATGCATTACCTCTTTTTAACTCTACGTGCCTGAGAGGATTTCTTAATGACTTGTTAAATACTGAAGGTCATTACTGTAAACTTCAAGGTTCTCTTCCTTTGTGTTCACAAACTGTTGAGAAGGTTATTTGTATCTGGTGTTTGTACTTCAGTGTACTGAAGTCAATAGAAACTACTCCATCTGGTTTTTAAATCCATGGTTTATGGGGGGAAGAAGGAAGGAAGTGTGTTTTGCACCTGGGAGTTGTGAAGCAGGTATATTGTATGTGATGTATGTGGCTGCATGGACAGTTCAAAGGCTCTGTACTTGACCTTGTTAATAATTTTATAACCATTTAATTGCTTACAGTTTTCCTACCCATGAGATTAGGCTTTAGAGTTTGGCTTTAGGATGAATGTCACTTGTATTTAACAAGGTTGAGGTTGGCTTGAATAGGTTTAGACCATGTCCAAGTGAGGACAAGAAATTGTTGACAGAATGGGTAAGTCAGCAACACCTCTGGACATGGTTTTTTGTAGTGTGTCTATAAACACTCTCCAGCCCCTTCCCACTACACCTTCCTGCTAATAGATTTCAGCAACCAGAAACTTGTAGCAGATGAGAAAAGACAGATCAAATACATCGCTAATGCTCATCTGCTCTGAGACAAGCTGAAAACTACCACACCTGCTCTATGTGACTGCATCATGGCCACTAAATTGGTTTATGAATTTTGTGAGATATTTTTGTGTGTACGGGTGTGGTTTGTTTTTTAATGAGCTGTTAAGATATTTATGTGTGGAATGCATGGAATTGGCTTATTGGTTCCACTGTCTACTGATTTTTACCTTCTTGGAAATAAATTGCCATAATTTCTAATGTTTTTGAGGCACGTAGCTGTAAAGACCTATAAAGTCTTCATTAATGTAAATATGAATACGCAGAAACGTTTAATGCAAAGCAGATAACTCCAGGTGAAGAATTGGAGGGTGTAGTCCTAATTGTACTTTGTCTCTATGTATTAAGTTCTCTTTGTGGGTGCATTTGATAGTTAAAAATTGCACATTTAATATTCTGGAGGATTTGTGGCTCGCATGATGAGATCACCAAGTTTCAGTAATTTTTTTTCCCTGCCTCAAGTGTGTGTCCTCTCAGAAATACTTGATTTTTCTCAGAGGCACTTCACTCACATTCAGCTAGCTGGGAATCCCAAATGCAACAATCCTTTCTCTTGCATGCATGTACTCTAACAGGCTTTCAAGTACAGTGAATGCCTCAGTGTGAGTAGTGAGAACTTGGGTATTTTGAGGCTTTTAGAGGATATAGGAACATAATGGTGTTACGTCTGACCTTTCTAAAATTATGTTTAATATGTTTTAATCCCATTTTTTTACCTTAAGAAGAGAGAGCATTTTTAAAAAAATGCTGCTTCACTGTAATTGAGACATAAGAGTGATGTGTAGCATTCTGTTTGTGCAGCACAGAAGCAAAGCACATGGCAACAGCTCAACTTGGAGAAGCCCAGCCCTCTGGTTTCAGTAAGTTTTAGTTTCATTTTGAGTGGAAACAAATTTTTAGTTATTTCTCTTCTATTTTTGTACAGGCTATGAATGAAATGAATGGGAAAGAAATAGAAGGAGAAGAAATTGAAATAGTGTTAGCAAAGCCACCGGATAAGAAAAGGAAAGAACGTCAGGCTGCCAGACAGGCCTCCCGGAGCACTGCGTGAGTGTCACCCTGGCACTGTGGTAACACTGCAGAGTGAAGTTCTGCTATAAAACATGGGCTGGTTTAGAGTGATTTGACTTAACTTTTCTCTGTGTTGTGTCTTATTAATCAAAAAGGGCAGATGTATACTTTATTTTGGGAGGCTTTTGGGGATAAATAATTATGTGTTTCTTTTTCTTACTAGGTACGAAGACTATTATTACTACCCTCCGCCTCGCATGCCACCTCCTATTAGAGGCAGAGGCCGTGGAGGGAGAGGTGGATATGGCTATCCCCCAGATTACTATGGCTATGAAGATTATTACGATGATTACTATGGTTATGACTATCATGACTACCGTGGTGGCTATGAAGATCCCTATTACGGCTATGATGATGGCTATGCTATAAGAGGAAGAGGAGGAGGAGGAAGGGGTGGGAGAGGTGCCCCTCCACCACCTAGGGGGCGGGGAGCACCACCACCAAGAGGTAGAGCTGGCTACTCACAGAGGGGGGCACCCATGGGACCGCCGAGAGGAGCCAGGGGGGGGAGAGGGGGTCCCGCACAGCAGCAGAGAGGACGCGGTGCTCGTGGAGCCAGGGGCAACCGTGGGGGCAACGTAGGAGGCAAGAGAAAGGCAGACGGGTACAACCAACCCGATTCCAAGCGCCGTCAGACCAACAACCAGCAGAACTGGGGCTCCCAACCCATCGCTCAGCAGCCGCTCCAGCAAGGTGGTGACTATGCCGGTAACTATGGTTACAATAATGACAACCAGGAATTTTATCAGGATACTTATGGGCAACAGTGGAAGTAGACAAGTGAGGAGGGATTGAGAATATTGGAAACATAGAATTGGCTATAGCTCTACATCCTTAAAAACAAAATTGGCTTAATGTTTCATCCTTAAGTAGCGATTGGCTGCCATTTGTATTGGGCTGAAGAATCACTCTATTGTGTATATACTCGAGTCTCTTAGTTTTCTTTTTTCATAAACGCACTTGGACATTACTGGGCTTGCAGAATTCCTGAACTCCATATGGGATTTCAGTGCTTTTATCATTTTAGGCTTCATTTTAGCAGTTTAAAAGCAGGAATGGCACACTGTTCAATCATGATTTTGCAGAACCTCTGGTTTTGGACAGTTTTGTTTTTGTTTTTTGGTTTTTTTTTTTCTTTTTTGTTTTTTTTTTTGGATTTGGGATAGACTACATAGGAGTATGCTGTACATAAAAGTAAAAACTAGTGCTTTGTCTTAGTAGTTTTAAGAAATTACAACAAATTAAGTTTTCTTGTATTGAAAATAACATGATTGTATGTTTTGCATTCCTAGAAGTAGGTTAACTGTGTTTTTAAATTGTTATAACTTCACACCTTTTTGAAAATCTGCCCTACAAAATTTGTTTGGCTTAAAACGTCAAAGCCGTGGCAATTTGTTCCTTGATGTGATTGTATTTCCAATTTCTTGTTCATGTAAGATTTCAATAAAACTCAAAAATCTATTCAAAACATTACCTATTTCAAATTCAATTGTGTCCTAAAACATTATTTCATTGGTAATTCTTGTGAAAAACATTGTTTTCAAAGTATAACTGCCTATGTGAGTGATCAAATTCATGCAAAATTTCCTGTGCTTTCCAACATGTAGCACTGTGGACATCAGACTGAAAACTAGGAGAAAATGCAGACAGCCCAAAAGGCACTCTTTGTTTAATTGCTGTTCAGTAATTTACCAGCATCTAATTTTAAAACTTTTTTTCCTTTTTGAAAGTGTTGAATTGTATCTAAGCATTCACAGAGATCTAATTTAAATCTAGTCTTCTAATGTAACGTGGAGAAGGAAGCAGAGCCTACAATGGTGTTAATTTTGTTCCTTTGATTATGTCCTGTGGAGTCCCTGTGGAGGCTGTTCTGGTAGGATTCAGCCTTACTGTATTATTCAGCGTATAAACACACAGGGAAATGATTTTGATCTCAAGCATCTTAGTCTAATTTAAAATAATCTTTGACTAGGAATGAGAATTACAACTTGGGTGCTATGGCACAGTAAACTAACTTCTTGCTATGGATAACACAAAAATACTCTTCAGATTCTGCTTATTTCTGTCTTGACATTTTAATTTGATGTTCTGCCATGATGAACAATTTGCCTTAGAATTCTCCTGCCTTCTAATAAAGGCTGTTTAAAAAAAAAAAGTATCTTTTGGGGGCATTGCTAGCTACATTATATTGCGTTGCTTTGACCCTTGTCTTGGACATTCCCAGATGTCAATTTTAACTGGCAAGTCATGACATTACTCTTGTGTTGCATCTGAGCCATTCTGTACCCCAATGAAGAACATTTGCTTCTCAAGAAAAGAGAGAAACAAACGGATTTGTACTTTCTCTAAAGAAAACTATTGCTGGACCTCTAAATATCCAAATCCAATACATTGCTCGTACTTGATTTACAGCATTCCAAACACAGACTATTGAGGAAGTTAAACTTCAGTGGTCATACTCCTCCCTTTGTCTTCTATTCCTGTCTGGTGTCTCAAGTGTGTTAGGTCAGAGTGTACTCAGTAAGATGAGCCTCCCCACACCGCTGTGGATCTGGAATGGGATTGCAGGGTTTGAGTTCTGACCTGAGTCAAAGATGTCTATCTGCTTCTCAAAAAAGGGTTTGCCCCTGTGTCAGGCTCTTCCAGTTAATAGAATTGGTCATAAAGAACTCAAAAGTACTTTTAAAAAATCAGTATCTAGTATGTTGTTGGGGTTTTCTCGTTTGTTTGTTTTTTGAGGGCCAAATCCTGTTCTCTCTGTTCCCTACCTGAGCAGTGAACTCAGAGTGCTATTGCCTGGACTTCAGGCATTAGCTTGTTATAAGGATCTGGCTTACAATTTTGTTTTAACACAGAGTTTTGCTGCCCTATCAGTATGACTTTCTGGTAGTTAAACAACTGTTGTGCTGAGTAGAACCCTGTAGTCCCAATAAGTACTGGCTTTTCAGCATTCATTATAAAGGGAATCTAGTACAAGGGAGCTTAATTGGAATCATGTTTAAATTGCTCTCCAGCCTGGAAGAAGGGTAGTGTTCCTGTACTGCACATGTTAGTCCAGCAGAGGTGAGATGCCAGTACATGGTGTGGGGGGAGTGGGGAGGAAGCAACGGACTTCAGTTTTAGTGCTTACAAAACAACTGAAAAACAAAAATGTAAAATTGTCTTCCTGGAGAACTGTAAAGCTGCATCTTGTATTTACTTCTTGTATAATGGCCCAGATCACCATTTATACTAATAGTTTTGTTAAATATGAGTAGTGAGCTATACATTTTATAGTTGAAAATTATAAGAATTAAAGTCAGTAAAAGTTTATATTTAGAAGATTCACCAAATTCTTTGATTTTCATGGTTTATGGCTATTCAAATTCACCATTTAAATTTGCAGCAGTACTTTAATGAATCCTTAGAGATAGTGTGCGCTACAGCTTACTCAAGTAGTGGTGTGTACTGAAGTTCAAGAACTTAATGAAATTATTGAAAAAAATTACGGAGCAAAGATACTGTAGCACAGTGGAAAACTACCATGCCTGACTCCAGGGAAGAATTTCTCAGCACAATTTTGATATATAGTAAGAAAAAAAAAAATTAAATTTGCTCTTTTGCATCTGTTGTGATTGTTTCTTCAGTATATCTTAACAAAAAGCCTTTATAATATGTTGAAAATGGATTTCAACTTGCACACCAATATTCGGCTTTTATGAGTGTCCTGCTGGCATTGGAGGAGGAACCATGAAATGGGATTTTAATAATCATTTGATCACTCATTTATAGCAGTTGTTTAAATGTCTGTATTGATAAGGTGTTTGACTTAAGAAGTAGGTTATCAGATTCCTAGCAGTTCCAAAAGTTGAGCAAAGTATTTTTATAGCTATTGTGTTATTATAGACTTAATTTCACTTTATTAACAAAATCAGTTTACTAAATTCATCTTATGATTTTACTAATTAAAGGTTTAATTTTTTTTAGCAATTGTTTATTTTCAGGTCTCAGCTTCTGTAGTGTGATTATTAAAGAATGACAACTGCATTGCTTAAACCTTTCCAAAATAAACTCGAAGTAGAAGATCACCGCATGATTTTGGTGACTCTGTATAAAAACCTGACCACTTTTTACCCCCTCTGTAATTTGGACATGAAGCCCATTTCTGTATTTTGAACTACACAGAAAAAAAATACAGATGGCACTCTTATTATAAGGCTAGCAGGGAAGTAAGTTTGAGGTATTGAGCAAAAAGTCTTAAACCTCTCAGACATGTAGACCCTCCTGCAGATGTATGTAATTTTCAGCAAGTCTTATTTGTTATCCAGAATACTGGTGGCCCATCCATAGAACAGCAAGGACCTGTCCTACAAATCTGTCATCAACAATCTTTGATCATGCATGACTTGAGGTGGAGTGTGTGTGATTAAAGATTGCTTGTACAATGGAGGTTGTTCAGTGGAATTGTGACATTCACGTGAACAACGTGAGTAGCTCAGAGCCTTATAGATATACCCAGTTGTGTTCTGAGTTTTTTCTAAAAAAACAACAAAAATAAATTAGAGCTTCTGTTAACTTAGAATTTGAATGAAGCTGTTGTAGTCTGTTTGCTTAAATTGTCTTTTGAAACCCAGAGGGGTTATGTTGAGTGTATATTAACTGATAAAATGTGGAGGGGGGGGGGAAATTGTTTGTGTTAAAGGGAAACCTTACACTTTTGGTCTCATTGAAACAAAATAGTCAAGGTGGATCTGTGATACTTGGTTATTGATCACGAACTTCTGAAATTTTAGAACAGGAGAATATCTCTGAAGACATGTTTTAACAACTTAGAGGTTACCAGAAGCTCTGAAAGACAGACAGTTCAGAATATATTGCATCACATTTTCTGATGTCCAGAAATCTGCAAGTGTCAATTTTGTATTTTAACTCCTTCCTTTTACCTGACTATCAGGGAAGCGTGATTGAGGCTGACCTGACATGTCATGATGTCGACTTGCTAGGTGGGGTTCGCAGGGGACATTAACCTTGGAGTTATCGGTAAGACAACTTTCTTTCTCATTTCCTTCAGTAAGATGAAAGGGCTGGGGTGGGAGGGGGGAGGAGATGAGCTCCACAGACTTGAGCACTGGAATAGATTTCAAAATCTGCCATTACCGTGGAGAGATTCTAAGTGTTTAAGGTAAAGGTTAAGTTTAAATTTGTCCATGTTCAAGAAAGGCATGGCATAGGTTCTTCCAATTGAAATTAATTTGAAAATAAAGATGACTTGCACTTCAGAAGAAAGCTGGATGGTATTTTAGGGATGCTGGAAGCATAAAACAATTTGAACTTTTAAATTTTTCTTCTGTAATTAAATCCAGATTTGGGTTGGATTTTTTTTATCCCAAGCATGCAAAAGCAAAGAACTTGCAGCACACTTCTTCAAAGCCTAAGAATTCTGTTAAGAAATGTGTCCAGGAAAATAATGTGTCTCTGGAAAATAATAAAATTTCATCTTGGAAATAACAACAAAACATTTTGAATAATTTGAATCATTTATGTATTGAATGTGATAATGCTTAGAAGGCACTAATTGAGAGAAAATTGCTTTTGAACGAAGGGACACTTGTAGTTGATCCCACTATAAAATCCCACTGGATTTTAGTAATCATCTTTGCTTTTGGGGAGGGCATGATATGTTGATTCTAGACAAACAAGTAGCAAAAGCTGAAGAAAGATTTGCAAATCAAACTTAAAATACTTGGACATGTTGAATCCTTCATGGCACCTGCTCATCCTGTGCCTTTCCTCAGCCAGCAGACTTTTCTTTTCCTGATTGTACATTCATACAGTACTTGGAAAGGAGCAGATGAATCGGAAAAGCTTACTAGGCTAGAGGAGCATTCCAGGGTCAGTCACGGTTTATCGTGGGACTGAATAGCATGCCAGTTCTGACACCAGCTGCAGAAGAAATGTACCTGGTGAGTACAGGTATTTTGTAAGGATTTTTCAGATATGAAGTATTTGTTTAATTCCAGATAAACTTTGCTCGGGCTACCACAATCACACAAGGTCATCAACGCATCTTCACTTGAAAGATCTTAAACAGAAAAAAGAGGATTTCTTTTAACTCTGGATTCTCCAGTCTGCCATGGAGCTACTGACAGTGAGTGTAGTTGCACATGCTCAGGCAGCCTGTCTCTGGAAAAGGAAGCAGATGGCAAAATCATTACAGGAGAAAAAAAACCTCTGAGTGGATTGGCTTTTTCACATGTGGAATTTGGAGATAAATGGAGTGGGCCATGCTCCTTTCATAAAACAAACATTCTTCGCTTATCGGTGAAGTTTATGAATTTAAAACACAATATATTTTTATCTGATTATAAGCTGCCAAAGTGCATTACATGCCAAAAAAAAAAAAAAAGGAATGAAAAGCACACCAAACTAGTCCTACCCTCCTTGCTTCAGGCACAGTTTCACTTTTTTCCTTCCTTAGCACCAGTGAATGTGCAGTCTTCTCATTGGATTTTCCTGTTGAACTTTCTGCAGACCTTGTGTAAGTGTAGAATACACAGTTTTATCTCTCTGTGTTTAAACCTGTGAGAGGTGGTTGTATTTCTGTTTTAATTCAAGGAATGAGCGTCCATTGCCTCAGCACCTGTTCACCTGACAGTATTCTTTCTGCCATACCTTCAGGCATTTCAAATTTGGTGTGCAGAAGGTTCATTCACAACTGGGATTTCAGAGGGGATGTGGTGTAAGCATTAATTTCATGATAGGAAAGGAAATCTAATTCTGGAGAGCATTCAGCTGTTTTAGCAATGGAAGCTCCTTTGTGTTCTGAAGTTCCCTGCTGTACTGCTTTAACTGCTACAGAGAAAGGGAAGTGAAATGCTGCACAGGCTAGAAGTCCTGTGGTTAAAAGTAGTTCAAGTGCCTAATGGAAGATGGTATTGTAACAGGTGTACTCAGGAGACTGAATGCATGTTGCACAGGCAGCAATTTGACGTGTCTAATACTCTTTTTTGCACAGTTCCTGGATGCAGACTGCTTTCTGAAAGAATTCTTTGAAGCACGTTCTACAGTGCCATTACCATAAGTAATCAGATTTTAAAATTCAGTATATTGAACCAGTGGGACAGAGAATTAGTGTAACTTTTTGCTGGTAGTACCTATAGAACAAACACCAAAAAGGATAAGAACACCTTGTTTTAAGTTGAAGTCTGTTTTATCAAAATCAGAGATCTTTAACTCATCCCTGTGTTTTTTCAGTCAAACCCAATTTCAGTTACAGATTTTTCTCTCCATTGTTCTGAGGGAGCTTTTTCCTCCTTTTTGTTCTGCTCAGCACTAGCAGTAGCAATGCTGAGATCACAGGAGAAGAATTCTTCCTGCTCTCGGTATCATGCATCCAGGAGGTTGTAGGTGCTTGAAGAACCCATTGCAGTGAGCTTTATTGTCATGCAAATCTTTGCTGAATGACTTCTGCTCAGTTACAGAACCAGTGTGCAATTTATCTGCAAGAATTTAATATGCAATTTTATTAAATTGGTACTGATCTTAGCATCCAAACCATCTCAGTTGATACAATTCTCCCAGAGAGTCTGGCTGAGGTCAGATATTGAGCATGCAGTGTTCTACTTCAGACATGGGAAGAAGTTACAAGCAGCTGAAGACAATCTCAGCAGCTTCACAAAATAGGTTGGTATTGCTGTTAATTCAATTATCAGTCATTGATGCCTCTACTTACTGAGGTAAACCTAGAGCATAAATGATTCTTCCTGTAAGACAGCAGGTCAAGCCTGTTAGTTAATACTTCATTTATCACTTGATTTTTCCCTTGAACGCCCGGCGGTAGTAGCTGTTCTTAGGGTATGGAATGTGCATTCCCATCTTCCCCATATTTCACGTTTTCTTCAGTTTTGCTGGCTGTTACTGTGCAGTCAGGTTGCTTCCAGTTGGAGGAGTAGGAGCAAATATGTTCTGCTTATTTTTTCTCTTGCAGGTATTGGAAAGAGGTAGAAAAGCATATAGCTGAGGAAGTCCAAGCCTGCAGCCCAGAAGCAGCAGCAGCTGTGAGGGATCCTGCATCTAGTTAGAAGAAAAATTTCCTCTTGCTACCTACTCTTCTGATAAAGTTCATATTGAAGAGCTTGAGCTCATCTGGCACTTCTCACCAGTCTTTGTTGTAGAGTTGTGCTGTGAGCTTGCTCCAAGTGGGAAGTGCCTTGGAAACTGATACTGAGAGGCTCCTAAGGCAGATTTCTCTTTTTGTTCAGTGTGAAGGATTACTTCTTAAATAAAATGACATAGTTAAATGCAGAGCAGACTCTTCCTGTTGGTATCTTTAGGCAGGTTCTAGATACTGTGCATCAAATACAAATAGTGTGGTGAGATGTCTGTGAGCCAGGCTAAGCCTCCCAGCCAGCTGCACACATCTTCCAGAGCTCAACTGAGTTGTCTGATGCAAGTGCTCCATGTCAGTAGATCATTTGTACAGGAGAGGCTTAATCCATAATAAACGTGTGGGTTAACAAGATTGGGTTTTCCTTTGAAAATACAAGAAGTTTTTTGACAAAGTAAGAGAGCTTTTGGCTACAGCCAGGTAATACTGCATAGACACTTCAGCTCTGATGTCTTTAAAGGGCTGTGTGTGTTCTGACTGATATTCCATCTGTGGTGAATTGCAGTGAATTAAAGTAGTCCTAAGTTGTTTTTTTTTTTGAAACTAGTTTTTATCCTACTGCACTTGCCCACAACTTACCTATTACTCTGTTGTGATTGGTGTGTTGAGGAGATGAAAGCTGTGCACTGAGTATCTTGCACTCGGACATGGTGGCTTGTTCCCTGGCTGTGAGTTACGTTCTGCCTGCATGATAGAGGATGAGTTCTTGTCTGCCAGCTTTTGAAGGGTTACTGAGCTTCCATCAGGAACGCTTTTGAAAGAGAGCAGTGAGTTGGTGTGTTGGGGTGTACAGACACACATACCAAGGAGCTACCTAAAAAAGTTAGGTTAGACTAACTGGGGGAATCTCCAGACAGGCAAGAAGCAAATTTAGCCTTATTTATAGAGTCACTTAAATAATTTATATTCTTGTGTATAGAAATTCCTTCCTTAAAGCACTGGGTAACCAGTTGCTTAAGTTTGTTGGTGGAGCAGTAACAATGGCATCGTAAAACTATTTTGTTATAAAAAATTTATACGGGTAGGCAAAAGGCTTTTTCTCCTCCAAATAAGCTTTATTTTAAGTACTTCCACAACAAGCTAAAGGCATATAACCCAGTTTAGTTAATCTGCACAGTTTCTATGCAATAATCTTTCCATTCATATGATGAGTACCCAAAACTGGCTACTGGGAGTTTTAGTGCCTTCAGAAAGAGGGCTGTGTGAAACAAAATTCTTGCAACTTATAAAAACAGGTCTTCCTTGGGATGAGAGAAGAGAGCAGACCATCGGGAAGAATCAGACCCTGAATTTTATCAGTGCCTGATAGTATATAGAAGTCTGTTTCTAGTCAAACCCTTTTTCAGGGCTTTTCCAGATTAAAAATGTAGTTGTTTACTAGTTGAAACTTACTTCTCTCATTTGAAACAACTTATGAAGTTGGGTCAGATCCCTTAAGTTATAGTTGATGCCCTCAGACCTGGAACGGTCATGGATTATTTTTCCACTTAGTTAAATTAACATTTAGTGCTTAAAGTTCTCAAAAAAACCCAAACGCGAGCAAACAACGCTACAACAAACCCAAGGCCCTAAAGAAGGAAAGCCAGCATGGCCATGCCCACAGCACCCTGCAGACTGGGCATCTTTTCCTTCTGCACCTTGGAAGGGCAGAGGGATTGCAGTAGTGGTCCTGCAGGTAGGTGGTAGCTGGGCAGGTTTGGGGAGCACCCCACTAATGCACCAGTTCAGGAACAGCTGAATCATTTTTCATTAAATGTGAGTTACTGGCAAGGATAACTCTAGTCCAGCATGAGGTTTGGGGACTCTTGCCAAATTTTGCTGTGTGCTGCTCCAGGAAGAGGAAAAGAACTGAATTCTTTTTGCTTTCCATTTTTGCTGGTGTGGCCACTTTTCAGGTATTTGATACATCTGTTTGTGCTGCAGTTAGTGCTCTCTTACCACCTGGGAAGTGTCCTTCATGGAGTGTCAGGAAGGTCAGAGTTGGAGGGGCTGTGGTGAGGTGTTCATTGAGCTCTGCTGGGAGTCCAGAGATCTTGTACAGTGCTAAAAATTAAGCCAGGAGAATGCTAACGCACTGGCATTCCTGATGATTGCGAGTCATGTTCAAGAGGGTTGAAAACTAGGGAGACTGTGTCACAAGGACCCTCTGATAGCCAGATGGCTGACCAGTAAGCTCATAATAAAGCATGGTCATGCTTACTGCGTCGTCTTTACTCCAGGAAGTTGAGCAGCCACCTTTATTCTCTTGTTTCCAAACAGTTCTAGATTCAGCTTAAAAGTTCTGATGGACACAACTTTAAAGACAACTCTTATTCATAAGCATTTTTGTCAGATTTGTTTTTCTGCCCCACCAATTTTTTTTTCAGCTATTATTTAGGGGTTCACTACAAAACCCCTACTGGTGATCAACTAGTCAGTCTTTATGCCATATGTGTTGTTTTGAATTTTTGTAGCTTTGATTTTTTGAATTGCTGTACCTTTGCAGGATGCTAATACATTGAATTACATCTAATAAGCAGTCTGTAGGCTTTTTGGTAGAGTATTGCACGTAGGTCAGAGGCAAAACTAAATTTCAGGTTGCAAACACATAGCAGTGTTTCCCAGTTAATTTGCCAACAGGATTTCTCAGTTCCTTCTCATTCAGATTCAAACCAATGTTCAACCATCAGCACTGTTACAATGAGGTTACTCTCTTTGAGCAGTTCTTGCTACTCTGATACTAGTAGAGACATTGAATTTAAGGTTCCTGAGAAATGAGGATGCTTAAAACCTTAACAGTAGCTTCTCTCTTCAACTCTTCCATTGGCTGTACACATCTACTTGTCTTCCTTTGCAGAGATAGTGTTCCCTGTAGTGTCTTGGATCTGTACAGCCAGCAAGCCCAGCAAGCTGCAGGTGCAAGCCAAGTTGCAAGGTTTGAGATTTTTTTGAGTGAGTGGACCTTGCTGTTTTTCAAATGACTTTTTGATGTGGTGTGTAAAGGTAAAAATACTGCAGGATTCTTCAGATTTCTTTGATATTATTCCTTATACACAGAGTATGAGATCTTGAACTCATTTTATAGATTTCTATCATTTCTAGATGATAGATGTTGCACAGCAATGTAGGCATGCACTTATGAGCTAATTTGCATTAAATTTGCCCATTTTATGCAAAGAAACATTCATTATTTCTCATGTCGGCAAAGCATTAGAATATGCATTTTCTTTATTGTTTCTAGTA